ATTTTAGCCCATTCCCGTCGAAGCGCTTGCTTGAGGTGATTGACACTTTGGTATTTTTTATTGCCAACCTTGCTTTGCAAAATGCTCCGGACACAATGGTCCAATGGATTGGTATCCGGAGATTTTGGTGGCCATTGTGCGCTGGAAATGAAGCAAGGAACCTCATTTTGTAACCATCCTTGGGTGGCGCGTTCCAAGGTCTGCGGCCAAAATGTTGCGTGCCCAAAGCTTTAATACAAACTCCAAAATATTTTCGCGATAATCTTCGGCATTAATTCTGATGTCACGGTCAATTAATACGAGCGGAGAGCGACCACAGGCTGTAATGGCGGCCCACACCATTACCAAGGCCGGCGCTTGAGTTGTGGTAGCCCACCGAAGGTGCACATTTTCAGCTGACCTCTTTGGCAAGTAAACACGATCATTTCGTTTGTTTACAAACTGCTGGACAACGAATGTTTTCTCATTGGACAAACCAAATTCGGCAGTTCACCACTTTCGGCCAAGCGAAGCAACTCTTTAGTTCTTTTGAGTCTATCTTCTTTCCGTTGCGGTGTAAGTTTTGCACTTTTTTTGAATTTCAATGGCTTTACGCCCAGCTCATTTTTCAATATTTGAATGGAATATTGTGATATGATCAGCTCACGAGCCATTTTTCGGTCAATGCGACGCGGGTTTCGATCAAGTCGCTTCTTTACTTTTCGAACCATTTCTGCTGATGTTGTTGTTTTTTCCGTCAACTTCCTTGACGCCGGGCTACGCTACCAGTATCACGATAACGAGTGATTGTACGAGACACAAAAGATTTATTTATAATTAAATTCTGGAGTTCCCTAGCTATACCCACTTGTAGTTTTCCAGCCAATTCCTTCACGAATAACTTTTTTTCTGGAAATATAATGAGTTGTCACTGGGATAAATTTACAGCTGTCGGACGACAGACAGCAGTCTGAAGTTGGTTGCAGTTTTTTCATCTTACCCTCTATAAGGGCTATACAAAAACGTGGACCTATAAAGCTCATTTTCATTACCAACATTCCTGCAGACCAGACATAGATCTGAGTAAAATTTTATCAACCTAATCCAACTCATTCGGAAGCTAGTATGATTCCAGAGAACAACAGACAGACAGGCAGACGGACGGACATTTTTATATCAACATAGAATTTCATGCTGATCAAAAATATATATACTTTGTAGGGTCTAACTTAATATACCCTTCCAACTAAGGAAGTATAAAAAGGCCAATAGGACGCTTTAATGGATTGGACTAAAAAATCCTCGCATTTCTAATAATACTGTCAAAATCAATTTATATGTTCTTCGCATAAAATCGGTAAACCAATATAAAAGAAACACATTTTCATTTGCTATCCACTCAAATTGTAATTTTCTTGTAATGATTTCTTTAATTGCAATTTCGTGGTTCTTTGTATCATATAAGTTAATTATTATTTTGTAATGTATAAACCGCTGGTGAAATAACGTAGACCTTTACGTTAATAATAACACATATAAAATTGTTAATTTCTTATTAGGCACTTCACTTTGATTTCCACTTTTCTTCGCTAAAAGTACTTACATTTCGAATGCTGCGTTAATAGCCCACTCTATAGAACACCATTTCGTTTCGAATGTGATTTCCTTATTTTTTTTTTATTCTCTACAGGTTTATGAAGAGGTGCGCATAAATCAAATTATTCCTTCACGTTATGTTCTTTCTTCTCATCCCCCTCCAATATTGCTTCCCTTGTCAACATATTTACATTTCCAAGTATTTTTGTCATTATGGGGGGGATATTATTTACACTTTGTTCTTTAACAGCCAGACTCTGAGCCCTGAGAAGACTATAAATCGAATTAATACAAATCAAATTATACCCCAGTGCATCATAGACTCTCACATTATATTTCGATATAATAATTGTAAATACGACCTACTTATATATAAATATCACACCTAAATAGAGGTGTTGGTGTGCGTGTGGGAGGAGAGGGCCTCTGTGTTTGTACGAACGCCAGATGGCAATGGGGCAGGGGTCACATTCGTAATATTGCGGAGTAATGGGTGGCATCGCAAAACACTTCAAAGACTTTTAAATGTTTGCCTTGCCATTTGAATGTAAAGAAGCAAATATTTACATTCATAGAAAGAGATATTTACACTTCATCAGATTTTATAGAGTTTGCACATGACAGCAAAAGGAAATCATAGAACTGTGTGAGAACTTTTGAAATGTTCTAGGGTGGAGATGGCTGAAGAATAAGGCAGTTGTTAAGAATCTATTTGATTAAAGTTGGATTTGAAATTCAATGAGAAATCTAGTTGATTAAGTATAGACTTTTAAAAAGGAATGTATTAAAATAGCAAGTGTCAGTTACTTCGTCAGCGAAAAGTCCACCTTAAAAATTAAGATTCGTTTCAAAAGTTTGTGTTAGGCCTTATATACCCTCCACCATAGTATGGAGGGTATATTAAGTTTGTTATTCCGTTTGTAACACCTCGAAATATACATTTTAGACCCCACAAGGTATATATATTCTTGATCAGCAGAAAATTTTATGTCGATTTATCAATGTCCGTCCGTCTGTCCGTCTGTGGAAATCACTCTAGCTTCCGAACGAAGGTTGATACAATTTTACTCAAATGTGTATTATTTCTGCAGACCTTTTGGTATTGAAAATGGGCCATGTCTTCGTATAGCTCCCATATAACGGTACCTCCCGATATTCGGTATTTTTGATTTTAGCGACATTATTTACCGGAATTGTTTCAATTTTGGTATTTGAAGTTCGAAATAGATACTACATCTTAGGAAAGAAAATTAGCCATGTAGGTTCACGTTTTCGTATAGCCCCCATATAACGGTATCTCCCAATATTGGGTAATTTGACGATTTTAGAGACATTATTTACAGGAACTATTTCAAATTTAGAATTTGAAGTTCGTAATGAATACTACAGCATAGGACAGAAAATTGTCTGTGCAGGTCCACGTCTTCGTATAGCCCCCATATAACGTTACCCCCGATATTCGGTATTCTGATGATTTTAGCGACATTATTTACCGGAATTATCTAAATTTTGGTATTTGAAGTTCGTAGTAGATACTACATCCTAAGATAGAAAATGAGCCATGTAAGTCCACGTCTTCGTATAGCCCCCATATAACGATACCTCCCGATATTCGGTATTTTGATCATTTAAACGACACTATTTACCGGAATTGTTTTAAATTTGGTGTTTAAAGTTCGTAATAAATACTACAGCCTAAGGCAGAAAATTGTTTATACAGGTCCACGTCTTCGTATAGCCCCCATATAACGGTACCTCCCAATATTGGGTATTTTGATGATTTTAGAGACATTATTCGCCGGAACTATTTCAAATTTAGAATTTGAAGTTCGTAATGAATACTACAGCATGTGACAGAAAATTGTCTGTGTAGGTCCTCGTCTTCGTATAGCCCCCATATAACGGTACCCCCCGATATTCGGTATTTTGAAGATTTTAGCGACATTTTTTACCGGAATTATATCAAATTTTGTATTTAAAGTTCGTAATGGCGTACAGCCTACGCCAGAAAATTGTCTGTGTAAGTCCACGTTTTATAACCCCAATGGTACCTCCCTATATTCGATATTTATTACATAACAGTTTTTTTTTTTTTTTTTTGAATTTTCGTATTTGAATATTACAATAGCTATGACAAAATTTGCCTATGCAGGTCCACGTCGTCGTATAGACTCTAATATACGGCTACATTCGGTATTTTTAAGATATTAACAGAATTTTTAACGGATTTTATTATTTTGAAAATTGCCAAATTTGTACCAAATGGTGGTGTGTATTCAAAGTTCGACCCGGCCGAAGTTACAGCTTTTTTACTTAGTACTCAAAATGCACAATTCGTTCAGTTTAACATAACTTTTTGCTCAAAACGGCATACATTGTACTAAATTTTCAGACTTTTAATGATTAATAGGAAATTGTTTACCTTTTACACCAAAGAGTTCTCATAATTTTTCAGTTTTAAGTCTACCTTGAGGATATTAGTAAAACCCTCATCCAATTTTTGTGTTCAAAACTATTTCAATGTCTCAATATGTAAACCTTAAAAACCAACAGTGACCCCAATATCAATTTTCAGAATTTCAGTTCTATCCTGCATCTCTCCATTTAAAACACCATCTGCATCTGCATCTCTCCGTTCTAAACACCAACAATGATCCAAAATTGGTACCAATCAGATCTTTTCGGACAAATGTAGTACGAATTTCTAAAACCACCGCCAGATCTCAATACCAGATACAAACAGAGACCTTAATATCAAAAACAATCTCCATATCTCAACATTAGATACCCACAGTGACGGTAATATCAAATTTCAGGATCTCAGTTCCCTATTACCAAATTTAGTATCATTTATTACAATAATAGTACACATTTCCAAAACCACCTCCTTTTCTCATTCCCAGATACTAACGCAGATTTGTATATGATATTTCGGGATTTCCGTTTTGTCCCAATTTAGTAACACTTCGTATTTTTTGAACAATTATCGTACACATTGCCAAACCACCTCAATATCTTAACCAAAGACACCAAAATGCCATTATTTCAGCCCCATTCCATACTAAAATAAGTATCATTTCGTACTTTAGGTACAATTATAGTAAGCATTTCCGAAACCGACTGCTTATCTCGATTTCAGATACCAATGGAGAATATAATATCAATACCAATAGCAGTAGAGACTTTCACCCAATACCAAACTTAGTACCATTTAGTAATTTTGTTATAATTATAGCACACGTTTCCGAAATCGCCTATATATATCCAGGCTACACATGTACAGCTACAATTTCAGATTTCAAACACTATCTCTTCTCCTAATACAAAATTGTACCAACTATAGTACTACTTTTCGTGCACTTTTAGTACCCATTTGCATTAGAGAAAACATATCTCTATCTCAGATATCAACAAAGATCTCAATATAAAATTTTGGGTTTTCCGGCTCCATCGCTTCACCCAAAACCAAATTTAATACCACATTTCCAAAACCAAATTTATGCCTCAAACCGTAAGATCAACGGTGACCGCAAAACCAAATTTCCAGCTCTATTCGCCCAATACCAAATTTAGTACCAATTAGTACTTTTCGTGCAAATATAGAACGCATTTCCAAACCACCGCAAATCTCCAATACAGATATCATCTATTATAGTATTGTCAAAATTTCTGAATTATATCTCTTCATCCAATACCGAGCCACAACGAGAATGACGAGCCACAATTTCCTTGTGTGACACCACCTCTACAATTTCTGTGGAATGTATGCATTTTTCACGGCGATTCAATGGCCTAATATGACATAAATAGAAAATGAAAGTATTTCATTTGATTAAAACAACATCCATATTACAAAGATTGTGGTGCATTTTACCTTACTCGCACGTAAACCTGAATGTGTTCATTCGTTTTACGTGGCGGCTGCGACTGTGATTGGTTTTGTGCCGATGTATTCATGTTCCCCTTTAGATTCATTCGATTTCTTAGTAAATTCTTCCTCCCTTTGTTTATTAAAGAGCCTTTTAATTAAAATTATTAAACAAATCTGATAAAATGTCTGCTGATTGCTTGGCGGCGTTTCTTTATTGGACGTTTAAATTCAAATGACGCCAGGAGAGCTGAGGAGTGTTGCCAATCATTTGAAATTGACTGAGAACTATGAGAAAGGAGAAGGAATAAGTAGTGCCCAGTTGAAAATAAAACAAAGCTGTCCATCAAGTTGAAAATGACATAATATCATATGTTGGCAATATTTTCATTGTTAAGGCAGAGTTTACGCGTGGAAAATGAGTAGTTAAAGAAAAGTACTAATTTTTGGGAGATTTAGTTTAGGCAAATATAATGTTTCCAAACATAACAATCAAATAGCAGAGAAGTATTGTCAATTGTTCGAAATTGACAAATTGAAAAAGTAGTGCCCGGTTGAAAATAAAACAATGCTGCCTCTTTTTAGTAACAATACAACGATAAGATAAATATGCAATATGTTGTTAATATGTCTTCTAGGACAACTCAGATTTTTATACCTAGGATATTTAACACTACTTTTGAGAAGTCCTTTGTGATACGTGTTGCTAGAATATGGAATTATTTGCCTGTTGAACTTAGAATTTTTTCACAGTCCAACAATGCGTTTTGCTTAAAACTGTTGAATCATTTGAGATTACTTCGTTGAAGGGAGACGTGGTTGTAATATTACTGTACTTTTTTGTTTAATTATCTTTTGAAAAATTTTCTATTGTGCCTTTTTTGTGAGCTTTTATTATTAAATTCTTTGATGACGGTGGCATATATTTTTTGTATTGTTGCTTATGGTATATAGATGCATATTGTCCTTTTTTAGTATTTTTTGTAGTTATGGCTGGGGAGCCAATTATATATGAGATTTTGTTATGGATATTGTTATTAGTTTTAAGTTTACTCAGGAATATTCTATATTGTTAATACTATTTATTGGCCTTGAAGGCTTTGGTATTATAGAATGGAAATTGAATAAATAAATAAATAAATATTTTTTTATTGCTAAGGCATTGTTTACACGTGAAAAATTATTCATATATGAAAAAGAAAAGCAACATTGTTAAGAGTAAAGGTAAGGTCACATTGAGCAAATATTTGACGAAAAAATTCAAATATTTCTTTGCCACAATCTGACCACAAAATATTTTTGTGGGGCAAACACAAAAACAGCTGATTTCGAGAAAACAAAGTTATTTGTCTGCAAAGAAAATTTTAATCAATGTGGCCACAATGTGAACACCTGTAATCAAATATTTTCCTCTATTTAGAGTAAACATTTATTTGACCTTACAATGTTTTTGTATGAGAAAACAGTGAGAAATAACAGCTGTTGCATCACTCTTGTCAGCTTTTTATATTTAAAAATCACTTTTCTCAAGCAATTTGATATTTACACATTATATTATTATATTAATACCGCAAATGCATTGCAGATAACAACAACAACATACAAATATCTTTTTGTTCCTTTTCAGTTGTAAAGGAATTATTTTAGTTTTAATTCGTAACATTTTATATGTAATTTGAGAAATATGTTTGTAATTCAAAAAATTTACTTTTTTAAATTGAGAATTCCAATTGCAATTATATTTCGTTTTATCCGAACTGCAAATGGAATTATTCGAATTAAAAATAGAATTCTCAATTTACAACTGGATTGAAATTCAATTCAACTAGACATATTCAAATTATAAACGCAATAATTTGAATTACAAATGTATTTCTCGAATTACAAATGAAATGTTACCAATTAAAACCAAAATTACTCGATTTACAACTGAAAAGTTGTATATTAAAATCCCAAAGGACGTTGATCGCTAAAAGCGTTTTTATTTCATATACGACATTGACAACATTGACATGTAAAACAGCTGTGCAGATAAACGTTTACCTACAAAAAGACAAAAAGGAATAATAGAAAATTGAAGTGAGAAGTAATTCCAAAAAAACTAATAAATAAAAGGGAAATCGAATATGAAGTGCCGCAGAAGAAATCTCGGGGAAAACCAAAGGTTGCAAAGGAGTGGGCAGAGGAAGATATTTTTAAACTCATTGCTCTAGTGAAGGAACCAAATTGTCAAAATCTGCCGCGTTCATCCTCAAGAAACTTTTATAGAGCGATGGTGTTTCAGCCCGCAGTTGAGTCAGCAATTTTACGCAACATCCTTCCTCTTTTCTTTGACGCAACCATTCTCGAACCCATGGTCTTTTCTTTCTATTTTTCATGGGTTCGTCCTCTTTGACGGCAATATATGATGTTGCACCACAACATAAAATAAAAAGCGCCTCTTCCTGCTGCATAACTTCTTTTAAATATTTCGACCAAACAATTTTTTGTTTTTTTTTGACAGTGTGATCAAACTGCTTTTTATTCAAATATATTTTTCAAATGTGACCGCACGTCAAACCTGTTTTGTCATTGCTTTATTTGCCACTATTTGATGGGTGTTTGAACAAACAAAATTTGTCAAATAAATGTGAGCAATGTGAACACAAAATCAACTCTGTATGAAAACAACATTTTTTTGGGAAAATATGATAAAATATGTTTGGGTCAAATATTTGCTCAATGTGACCTTACCTTAAGATGCGGATTTAATTCAGGCAAACAAAATGGAAATGGAAAATTATTAAAAATGTCAATATTATTTGATAATCCTTCAAAATCAACATTTTATTCAATTATATTTGTATTGTTAAAAGTGAAAGAATCCGCGTGTTCTTCTAAATAAGAATCCAAGTTGCACTGCATCAATTGGGGATATCGCATTCTAATCAAAAAGAGCATACTTTCTTATACGAAAACTAGTGAATTCTGGAACGACTATCTGCTTATATTATGGTCTGTTCCAGAACTGCAAGAATGTAAAAAAGATTTTGACAATGAGATGTTGTCAAACGTATAAATTTGAAAAAAATTGTAAACATATGATTGCATGACTTTATCTTCTTAGTTCTACCAAGTTTTTTTCTTTAAAACAAAGAAATTCATAACTTGAAAATCAAAAATTCCTGCAGTTTCTGTTGAAAAGATAACATTAAATATTCATTCAGAATACATTTTCAAGTTGAAGTACTACTAATTGACCCAACATAACATAACAGTGATGCCCAGTTTTTTTCTTAATTTATTAAAATGGGCTACTAGTTCATTGTGATCGCCTCCACGTTTTTTAGAATAAGAAGATCATAAAAATGAAGATTTTTATAAAAATATATTTTTGTTCCCAAGCGTTGATGCTTTGTGATGTGGATGTCCTATAAATGATCTATGTTTAATGGATTTATTCATGGTACAATAAGGAGGTACAACAGCTTCGTAGAATTATAGAAATATATCCCTGAGGTCATGACCGCATTCTGACAGAAATAATGAAATTATTTGCAAAAAGTTGTTTTCATTTATTTTATATTTTTCAAATGAGTTAAATAACGCGAGAAATAAATTAAATGCCTGGATTTTCTTTCAAAAATTTGATCCAAAGTCTTAAATCCCTCAATTCCATGTGCAAATCTGGTTAAAATCATCAATGCGAGCCCCACAATTCAAGTTTCTTAAAATCATTGGTTTAACCCTAGACAGCTTCGATTCGACGACTACGAGACAGAATATTCGTTGTCTCTCTTGCGCGCTAAATTTGATCATCACAACATTGCTTGTCAACTCAGTGTTCGCTGAGCTTTTCCGAGAGGTACACTTGTTTGGTGGGTTAGTACAATATTTTTCTAGATATTACGATAATGCTCGTCGTTTCGACGAATGGTTAGGGTTTGTGTTAGGATTTTTTAACATATGTTTTTATTTTGTGCAGTTTTAATCATGTCTTCAAAGCGATTTTTGAGTGATGAACATATAATGAGTTTGTTAATGGACGAGGAGTATGATGGAGCATTGGAGGAAACATCTGATAGCGAAACTGAAGATAGCGTATTGGTGGATAATGTTGAAAGTGACTATCAGTCGGAGGAGTCATCATTACTTTCGGGCGGTGAAGACGTTCATGAGGTGGTTTCTGGTGTTTCGATGGATGATGTGCCGGGACTTGAAACGGCTTCTGCTTCATATGAAGTAAGCTCAGGTAACGATCCAAGTATCTTGGCATTCTCAAGTAGCACTATCCGCAGTCGGTCATGTCATGTTTGGGCCACGCGCAAAGGGCGAACTTCGAATAGAACAGCAGCAATAAATATAGTTCGTGGTGCCAGGGGGCCAACTCACGCAGTAAAGGGTATTGCCGACCCACTAATGTTATTTGAACAATTCATGACAAATCAGATAGTAGACGAGATTTTGAAATGGACAAACAAAGAGATTGAGATGAAAAGACAGAACTATGACTCAATATCATCTACGCAAAATAACACTAGCAAAGAGGAGATCAGAGCACTGTTGTTAATTATGGTGTTAACTGCTGCGTTGAAAGACAACCATCTGACCCTTGATGAATTGTTCAATTCAGAGTATTGTGGTACAAGATATGTGTCATGCATGAGTAAAGATAGGTGCGAATTCATTCTTCTATGTCTACGTTTTGATGATAGAGCAGTTCGCTTGCAACGGCAAAAAAACTATCCTTTTACACCCATTAGATATATATGGGAAATGCTTATGGTCCAGTGCTGACAAAACTACGTTCCCGGAACAAATGTTACTGTTGATGAGCAGCTACTGGCATTCCGAGGCAGGTGTAAGTTTAGAATGTATATACCAAATAAACCCGCCAAGTATGGGGTCAAGTTAAAAATGATGTGCGATAGTGGCACAAGGTATATGGTCGACTGTATACCATATCTCGGAAAAGGAACCAATACAGGAGGGATGCCTTTGGGAGAGTTCTTTGTAAAGGAACTTACTCGTAGTATACACGGCACGAACAGAAACGTTACCATGGACAATTGGTTTACATCAGTGCCACTAGCAAAGCAATTACTTCAACAGCCTTATAATTGTAGGAACATTACGTTCTAATAAAAGGGAAATTCCAGAAGAAATGAAGAACAAGAAAAATGGTAAGAGAAACAATCAAGCCAGCGAAGTCAATACATCCAGAAAGGTGAATACATCGATGTTCGTATATGATGGACCCCTTACACTTCTTTCCTTCAAACCAAAACCATCAAAAATGGTTTACATGCTTTCATCTTGTGAT